ATTTTATTAAAAATATTTTAATAATTTTAATATCGAATTAACATTTTTAATCTATGATTAAACCTAAAAAAATACCCTTTTTAATTTTTCAATGCTAGTGCTAGTAAAATTGTAAAAATGTCGGTAATAGAATCAAAGATCACGCGTGCGCTCTTTGTCATTATAAAAGGCTTCACTTTGTAGGACAACATTTTGAAAATTTGCAAACTCTGGCACAGATCCATTGAACAAATTTAGGATGGATTTTGGCTTAAGGTATGGATTCCAAAGCAACGGTGCGTGATAGATTCGCAACAACCCAATTGCTTTTTAATTATCAAAGGTTCTTTTTTTATTGGGAAGAACTAAGAAGATAAAAAGAATGGTCTGTTCCCATCCAGTGACATTGAACCTAGGTTATAGTTGTTCATTTTTGGTGGGTTATACGTTTGAATCTCACGGAATCTTTTTTTTCTCTCTCCTAATTAACCCTGTAAATAGTTATAAATTATTCAAAAAAAAAAAAAAAAACTAAGAAGATAAGAAACTTTCCCGGTAAACAAACAAGAAAAACTATCAAAAATGAAAATGCGTGATAAATTAGGGTTAACGCGTTTTGATTAGTTAATACTTATAATAAAATTCCAAGCAACGGTAATGGCCTCCCTTATTAAGTCTACTAATATTTTTTATTTATTAAATTACTTATTTAATATAAGGGTTTGTTTGAATTATGTATATTTTAATATTATTGACACTTAAATTATTTTAATTGATAAAATCAAAGTTAATATTTATACTTTTAATAAAATTAATTATAAAAATATGCATTTAATATATTATTATTTTATATCTTATGTCGGCATAAGATAAAAAATCTTTAATTTAAAGAGAAACATATATTTTTAATTTTATCCTCATCACCTAAATTAAATGAGTAAATAAATAATTTAACAAAAAAAAAGAATTCTGTCAGTTTTTATTATTTTTTAGATTAATTAATATTAAAAAATATATTAATTATATCCTTAATTTATATCTTTTAAGTACAGATTAGATAAATTCAATAAAAAAAAATATTGGTGGTTTGTGGTGATAAGCATGACGGCCAATGGAAACATTTGCCTTTCCCATGTTTTTATTTTTTTATCAATTTCATAAAGGAACGAACGAGGAAGCTGCCCTCCACCACCATCCATTCCCCCAAAATTTCAACCACTCCAATGACTAACTTTATTTTTGATTCAGGTTACACACATAATAAGATTAACTTTTTTTTTATTCAGTTTACATATATTTTTAAAATTAATTACTTTATGAATAAATTTAGAGACATCCTCCACACTAATCTTGTGTATTCAAATAAATTTACTATAAAGCCAACTCTGGCAACATGAATGGAAAAAGAATTATGTGAATTGATTACTTTTCTTGTTGATAATATAAGGAGCAAGTACATTTTATTCATCATGCTCATTTTAACGCAATTACTTGCACGGATACAACAATAAAAGAAATAGCAAAGTATAAGTAAACCAAAACAAAATTAGAATATAACTTGTCCTACACAATTTTAATATTTTCACATTCTTGCTTATTACCTTTGAGTGTTTAACATGCATCATAGAGACATCTATCCCTTCCCCGTGCCATTTTTTCGCCTAAATTGGTTAGAGCAATTGGTTAAAGCAAATTCTAACATAATTTGTCTAAACAAAAGAGAAATTGGTTAGAGCAAAAAGATTTTGCCAAGGATCTCATCATCGATCATATTTTCAATAGTCAGAACAAGCATGACAAGTGATCTGAATTTAACTAATATTATGTTCAAGTTATCATTATCATTCAATACGAGTAAATTCTAATAAAAAGTATTAAAAATATTAAGACAATAATCATCAAAAAAAGATGGAGAAACCTTCACAAGAGATAAAAAAAAACTCTCACAAGAGAGGAAAAAAAATTCCTAACAAAAAAAGAGAGTAACTTTCACCTTTAATCATCTAGTCTAATTGTTAAGAGAAACAGAAGCAACAACGACTAAAGAGAAGAAAAAAACCAAGAGAAAGAGAAGAAAAAAACCAAGAGAAAGAGAAGAAAATTAGGATGAGAGAAGGGAGAGGGTGGCTTGACTTGTGCAGGTTGATTAAAACTTGCAAGTTTTAATTTCTCCATGGACATTAAAAGAATATATATATAGTTCTAACTTGTCCATAACAAGAAAAATCCCCTAAATCCCCTAAGTTTGAAAGTGATCATCCCTCCAGAACCACCAAATTTAATCTCCAAACGTAATTCTTTCTGAGTTATGATTCCCTAGCATCCCAAACTCTAATTTGTTCCATCCATCATAAGTAAAAACAACTCTAATTGATTTCAATTTCTTTTACCAAAACAAAATTTTCATTTCATGTAGTTTTCCTCTTCA